CATCCAATCGCTTGGGGTGACTGGGAGGTATCAGAGAAGGGGTCTAGATGGGATTAAGAGTAGCTGGGGGATAGCTAGTGTGCAGACAATGAGGACTACAATGAAAGGGCAGTTAAAAGGATTATTGACTGGTCTGGGAAATGCCAAAGGCAAACACCAGGGACTGGGCCATGTGAGAAAGTCCAGGGGCTTATATTTTTGGGGGTCCAAATCCCAAAGATGTGTTCTTTTCCTTTTAGGGTTTTAAATCCCATCCCCATCACAACATGGTCAGGATTGTGAAGGCAAAAAGAATCTCAGATTACCTACACCTGGGAGAACTGTTTTGAGACTCCGCCTTCTAAGCTTTCTGTGCTTACAGAAATTTCTTTTATGGGTAAAGGACTCTCTTCCAAAGTTCTCCAAGGTAAAAAGACCTCTGCACAGTACAGAGCTTTTGAAGCCCCATCCAGCCCTCCTCGTTGCATCAGCCCCTTTCCGAGGCCTTCTCTAATTACTCCCTACAAAAGTGGTTTCTTAAGAGTGACTCTGATCTTTGTTTTTTCCTTTCCTCCTAGGCTCTGGTTTTTTAAGCCTGGTTTTTAAACTGTGTAGTTGGCAATCATCAAAGGTCCTGTATTTATTTATATGCCCAAATTTGTTTCTACAATTATCCAAACCAAGCTCTACTGCTCAAGTCTTGGGAATGAGGCTTAGACAGTCCTGGTTTCCTGGAGATTTTCCCTTATTATCCCAAGCTTTTAACAGCTTGCCCAATGTCAGAAGGGCATCAGCAGGAGGTTTACTCTGTGCTAATCCCATATTGGTACTAGTACCCTCTTAACTTTTCTGTTCCTGGGCAACCTAATGTTGGGGAAGAACCTGTACTACTTGCCTCTTCTTGCATGTGGTTTCCATTTATTCATGGGCAAATTTGGGGGAAAAAAAAATCAAATTTTGAGTTCTGGACTTGAAGAGGTCTAGGACTTTGGAGTGCTGCTGGAACCCCAAGATCATGACGCAGGCCACTGCCTGAAAGAATTCAACTCAAATCTTCTTCCAGCCAGAGGAAAAGTTTATTAGTGATAAAACACATAGGCCAGCTAACACCTGGGTTGATGAGGGGACATGAGAAAGTCTCAACCTTTTGGCGTGATATTCTCAGTGTCTGAATGGGGGCCTGAGTAGATCTTATATACTAAAGTGACTTTGGGTAGCCAGAGGAGGGGTCTGGGAAAAGGGTCTGGGTGAGAATTCCAATTGGAATGTCTAAGAGATTGAATAGACAATGGGAATAGATAATGAAGGAACTGAAAGGCATCTGAATGAGATCAAAAAGGTGGGGCTAGGGCTTTCAAAGGGAGATGAGGGGCTGGGGCCTGTAGACAAATGGCAGCCAGATTCCCTTTGGGGCAAGGGGTGAAGACCTTGACTTGGGCCACACCCCATCAGATTTATTTCTCCTTATCCTTCCCGAGTTTGGGGAGTTTAATTCTCCAACCACTTTGCAGCTGACTAATCTACTTTGATCCACCATTGGACAAAAGCCCAAGTGCCCGGCTGCAAAATCACAGTAGATTCTCAGTTGATAGCCATGAGCAAAAGTCCCCACCCCCAATATCCTGGCTAGGCTCACCAGATTATTAAAAGAAATCTAGGTTAGGCCTTGAAGCCCTAATCAATTGCAGCAAACTCAGGAAGTAAGACAAAAGGAATTTATTAATACAGCAAGGCAACAAATATTGGATTTAATCTGTGCTCTGCTTTTTATGGACAAGAGTAAGCAATTTCCACATAACAGAAGGACAATCTTGTTTGGTCCACATTTCAAATGAAGAGATAGGATTAGTAAGCATGTGCCACCACCATGTTATACAGGCTACCTGCCTCATATTCAAAGCCTTCTTTTTATATTTTGCTGTGTACATGGAAATTTTTTTTATGTGTGTTCAAATTTAGAATAAAAAAAAATATTTTTAAACCTAGTTAGATCTTCAACAAGAATGATATAAAAAAGATTTCGGTGCAGGACATTATTCAGAATTGATATTTAAAGAAAGACTATTAAGATTTCTCATTCAGTTAGACTAAGTATTTCAAACTAAAGTATTAGTTTTAATCAATAAATTTAAATAAACAGAATTTATAATAAAACATATGAACAAATTTATATAAATTTATTTATAATCAATTTAAACAAATTTAATAAATAAAAAATCCCGACAGTATTTTGTGATATGTAGCCTAAAGAAGAAACATAGGTACAGGGTAGAGGCCTCAATATACTTCCACCCTACTAATTTATATGTTAGTTTTACTGTTACTTGCTGCATGTCACTTGCTTACAGCATTGCTTTATTGCATCATTATAGTAAATATTACATGATTGGTTTACTTCTATATCGTGTTTTGTTGAATATTTCCCACACTTAATCAAGTATAAGTTGCTTGAAAAGTTTTAACCGGAAACTGGAAACTCAGAATTCTCCTGATTTCAGAAGTGAAAATAGTCAACAAAAAATAAGGACACTGAAAAGAAAGGTCAAAGAATTGGGAAATTGCAAGGTAATTTATAGCAAACCATATAGTCAACACTCTATGTATTATTAGATCTATTGGGATAATCTAAAAATACCAGATACACTGAGAGTAGGAGATACTACTTGGGAACTAATCTACATACCACCTTCCAAAAAGAAGGAGTTGTTCAAGAGAATAGAAGAGCAATGCTTTGAAAAGTAGATCTCTTGCACCTGTACCAGAGGGCAGAAGGAGGGGAGAGGAAGAGTCCAGATGAAGGGTCACACTCTCTTTCTCCCACCTCCCACTGACTAGATCAGGGCTTCTTAAACTTTTTCCACTTGTGACTCCCTTTTCATCTGAGAAATTTTTATGTGACCCAAGGTATATAAATATATGAAATAAGTATACAAATCAAACATTTACTGATAATAAATCATAAAGAAATTTATTTTAAAACAATCCTTTGGTATACATATAATTTTACCATTTATTAAAGATGAAAGCAAATTTGTATACCAATGAGATAGATGTGCTTATTTATTTTTCAATAAAAAATTAAATCTTTTCAAATTTTTTTATTTTTACCTTTTTTTTAGGCAGTTGGGGTTAAGTGACTTGCCCAGGGTCACACAGTTAGTAAATGTCAAGTGTTTGGTCTGAGGCCGGATTTGAACTCAGGTCCTTCTGACTTCAGGGCCGGTGCTCTATCCACTGTGCCACCTAGCTGCCCCTAAGAATTAAATTTGGTGCTGCTTTTTGATATTTGATATTGCAGGATGTAGAACATCTTCAACTTTTTTCCAGAGTTGATCAATATTTTGATTTTATAATCATCAATGCTGAGAACACCACTTCACATAAATATGTAGTACAAAATGGCAGAAGTATATTTAGGGCCATTTCAGAAACTGTTGGAAATTCTGTCCTAATCCCAAGCCAAAATTCATTTAACAATTTTGTATGTACAGTAAAAACACTGTAATTCATAACATACAACAGCCTTGAATGTGAGTTGAGGTGTTTCTGGTAGTGTTCATTGGTGCTGTGCAGTATGATGACATGCACAGTGCAAGGTGCTCATGTTGTGTGTTCAGAACCAAGGCTGTAGTGAAGTTGTGCAATGCACCATAAGACAAATGACCAAAAGTTAATTCAAAATCAAAAGCAAGGGCAACTAGGTGACGCAGTGGATAGAGCACCAGCCCGGAAGTCAGAAGGTCCTGAGTTCAAATCCAGCCTCAGACCAAACACTTGACACTTACTAGCTGTGTGACCCTGGGCAAGTCACTTATACCCAACTGCTTAAAAAAAAAAGATTAAAAAAAAATAAAAAGCGTAATGAATCTGAGATGTTTCTGGCAACCAAGAATAACCTCCTCAGCAAAACTGAGTATAATCTTTCAGGTGGAAAAATGAATATTCAATGAGAAGACTCTCAAGCATTCCTGATGAAAAGATCAGAGCTGAATACAAAATTGCACATTCCAACACAAGACTCAAAAGAAGTAGTTGGGCATAGAAATCTATTGGGGGGATTAAAATTGTCCAACCTGCTATAAAAGATATTAAGGCAGAGCTCTGAGCCAATGGTACTTTCTTAAAGGGCCCATGGTCTCTTTTAACGAAGTAGACCTCAGATCTTACTCATGATCTGAGATGCCCTCCCTCTTCCAGAATCTTGTTTTATAGGGTTTCCAAATATGCAAAAGAGGCATGGTGAAATACAGAATCTCATTGATTGATGGACCTTATTCTTGAGGGCCAAAAATGACATATTAGCAGGGGGGTCATTGGTTGGGTGAGGCATGGGGCATCTCCGCTGACTAAGTGATCATAAGATGGTCACCTGCTTGTTCTGGACAAGAGAGAATAATCCAGAGTTACAAAAACAAACTGGGGAACTTTCCAAAGCATCAAGGCATCCCACCCATTCTGGGTTTAGACATGGAATTTGAATAAAACAGGATGGGGATATCTTTGTCAGCATTCTTATGGCTGCGTAAGTAAGCCTCATAATTTGGTAAACAAGTAGTGAACGTTACATTAAAGTTTGAGACCCATCATAAGAACCTATCTCTATCTATGTGATTTCTGTAATATATCAAACTGATTGGAATATAGTAGGAGTCCAAATGAATGATTTCTCACATTCCCCCTTTCAATCCCCAGAAAGACTCCAGTCTTCCTTGGGATTGTTAAAATCTAATGCATGGAGAGCAACACAAAACCCAAAGTCAGCAGTCCCCTTACTGAGGTGCAAAAGTGATATTAGAGAAGAGGGAAATGGGCACAACTTATAACGTAACAATCATGTTCCATTTCATCAAACATTAACTCATAATATACTATAACATACAACAAATGTCTGAGGTGACCCACTGACTAAGAACTGTGAGGGACAGGTACCTCCTAGTAAAACATACCCTACAAGAAATGTAAATCAGGGGACCACAGGGCATTTCTTCAAGCATAGAAGTGAAAGCATTGCCTGCCACAGGTTCTGAAAATCTTTTGACTTTATGAAAACAATTCAAGCAATTTTGACAGCCATTCCATTATGGTGATGAGAGGGAACATTCCTTCAGACAACATAAACAGATCTAGATGGCTGTAGCATAGGGAGTGGAGGAAAGTAAGGAACAGGTTGAGTTCCACGAACAAAGGAATTATCAGTCATTGCTGTCAGTGGTGGAGCAAAAACAAATAGGAGACTGAAAAGGACGATTCAAGATTTCAGTCACTGTATGCTCAAGAACAGGTGGAGGAGATGATGATGATGAAGGTGTCATGCTTACTCTTCCCATCTTATACAGTTGTCCAGTCTCTGAAACATCCACTGATACAGTCCTGTGGTCACTTGGAGATCTTTCCTCTTAAGAATACTGGAATGAGTCAGGCTTGAGAGAAGCTTCTAAGTGGATTTGCTTCTCTGGGTCAGGTCACTTGCAGAGACTTCCTTCTCTGTTAAAAATCTCTGACAAAATATATCTTAATACAATTCTAGTTTGCTATTATAATAACCAAGTCAGGTAGTGAGAGCTAGCCCAAACCTTAACTACATTGATATGAACATCACTAGACCGGAGAATTTACATTTTTAGGTTGGCAAATTCAAATAACAATTGAAAAATTAAAAAATTCTGAACTCAAATTACATATTTCTCATATACAATTACCTAATTTTATTACAACTATTTATCAAGGGGCAGCTAAGTGATGCAGTGGATAAAGCACCAGCCCTGGATTCAGGAGGACCTGAGTTCAAATCTGGCCTCAGACATATAACACTTACTAGCTGTGTGACCCTGGGCAAGTCACTTAACCCCATTGCCTAGCCAAAAAAAAAAGAAAAGAAAAGAAAACAAAAACAAACAAAAAACAAAAAAACAAAAAACCAACTATTTATCAAAACCAACTAAAAAAATCTTTCACTTTAGCTATTTTCCTTAAGCTGCTCATCCCTCCCCTGAGTTCCTCCTTTAGGAGGGTGAGATACTGCTAGGAAACTATTAACACAACATCTTTTTTTTTTTAATAAGATGATGATTCCTGATATACAACCCAATTTATTTAAAAATTGCCAAAATAATTTGAATTGTAACAAAAAGTTCTGGGATAGGATGTATAAAAATACATTGAGTAGTCTACTTCAAGACAGTGTAGATAAAATAAGTTATTAATAATAAAAACATATTTGCTCTCAAGACATGCTCAACATTCAGGTGGTAATAATAAAACTGAATAAAATTGGCTTTTCACATTTAGGTAACACAAGATATTTTGTCATCAAAAAAAAAATACCAAAAAACAAAACTGAAGATATTTCTGCTTTAGGCTTAGTAATTAGTAGAAAAGGTTTGGTCCCATAAACTGTTCCATCAATATCCAATTATCCTCAGGTTAATTTTAGGAAGGACTAAAATTTTAGGCCAAATAGCTCAAATCTTATTTCCAGTACTAATCTATGAAATAAGGATTTCATAATGTATTTATGTTGATAACCTGCAGCGATTACAGAAATTTGCCATAGAAAGAAAATAGGGACATTAAGGGGAAAATGCTTCCCTAATTTCATGTCAGTTCCAGTCTAGAGTCATATGGGTAGCCAATTTTACTGAGCCTGGCTTTAAAGGTTGGATATTTCCTATTCAAGAGGAAATATTATATTGGGCAAAAAAAGTCAGTAGAATCCTATCTCAGCTGATGCCAAGAATCATTCTCCCAGTCCTCCCCATGAGAATTCCACCTATAATTCATGGATGTCAACCCCATGGGGTTACTGGCCTAATAGGATGATCATACCTGGCCTCAGACTCAGAATAATATCAATTACAGCCTCATGAGGTCTAACAGCAAATTCCAATAATCATAGCTTTAGGAGGATTCAATTATTAAGGATCACATATCCTTGATGTAGATGAAAAAATTTCAAGGTATCTAATTTTATATTTCTAAAACAAGCCATCTTATCAGGTTAGCTTTGAAGGGGTTTCTTCCTTCTGTACATGCTTTTTAACATAAACTCAATATAAAATAAAGTTATAAGAAGAATTAGTATATCAAAAATATACAATTCACCTGAAACTTCAGAGAATTTTAATTATTGTATCATGAGGGCTTAAATTGGAAAATGAGTCTTTGTCGCTCTTAATATTATTAGATAGATGTTTCAAACAATTTTTACATGTAAAATTCTTAATGCTATTTTGAAAATCGTATCACATTTTTCACTGTGACATCTCCCCCTAATTTTATTATCATAATGAAAGAATGTTATAAAGTGATTTTTTAATAAACTAAACAGCCCACCAGTTGTAAGGCTTCACAGTCTCTATTATTTGTGATTCAAATGACAATTCAAAATCATCTTCCACTCTACTGGGATGTATAACTTAATCAAAAATCACCAATAGAGTTCATCTTCTTTCATACTTGCCCTGTATCAATGGATTTGTTATGTGAGGAGAAAGTCATGGACATAGCAGAATTAGTTCTGTTTAACTTCAGGTATGAGTCATAGATAGCCATTTGTATGACAGGATGTCACAGCCAGGTTCAGAATTAACCCGTTGGGAAAATGTCTTATTTATCAAGATGAGGATAGATCATGAGAATCTTACCTTCACCTTCCCAAGGTCAGACAGACATCCCTATGGTGGTCCTCAGACTGCAGAGGCAAATGGCATTTCCCTTGAATGATGAAGCAGAAGCCTTATGAAGGATCATACCCTCATGCCTGGATTCAAGACTTAGAATAGCAGCAAATTAAAGTCCCAAGAGACTCCCTCAAACAGCAAAATTTCACTAATTACAGCTTAGGGCTAGGTAATTCTTATTTTTCTTACACATTAGCCTCAAAATCTCATCTAGAATTTTTAAACTATTCACATATTTCATCTATTCACAACTATCACTCCCCATTTTAGTCTGCAGATAAAGCCAAAGGGTGAATATCAGACCATTTAGCAGAGTCCATGTTGGCAAGCAGGTCATACCTGGGCACAATTTCCTTGGCAAAAACTATGGTATCAAAGCTGTGGCTTAAGAACTAGGGAATAGTTCATGCTTACATAAATAAAATAGAAAAAGAGGAGATTAATGAATTGGGCATACAACTAAAAAAACTAGAAAAAGAACAAATTAAAAATCCTCAACTAAACACCAAATTAGAAATATTGAAAACCAAAGGAAAATTAATAAAATTGAAATTAAGAAAACTATTGAACTAATAAATAAAACTAAGAGCTGGTTTTATGAAAAAAACAATAAAATAGATAAGCCTTTGGTTAATTTAATTTAAAAAAAAGAAAGAAGAAAACCAAATTACCAATATCAAGAATGAAAAGGGTGAAGCTACCACCAAGGAAGAGGAAATTAAAACAATAATTAGGAATTATTTTGCCCAACTATATGCCAACAAATTTCACAATCTTAGTGAAATGGATGCATATTTACAAAAATATAAATTGCCCAGATTAACCGAAGAGGAAGTAAAATACTTAAATAACCCTATCTCAGAAAAAGAAAATTATAGACCAATTTCTCTAATGAATATAGATGCAAAAATTTTAAACAAAATATTAGCAAATAGATTGCAGCAACTTTAATTTAGATTTTTCACTAAGATACGACCGTAGGATTTATACCAGGAATGCAGGGTTGGTTCAATATTAGGAAAACTATCAGCATCATTGAGCATATCAACAACAAAACCAACAGAAACCACATGATCATCTCAATAGATGCAGAAAAAGCTTTTGATAAAATACAACACCCATTCCTATTAAAAACACTAGAAAGCATAGGTATAAATGGAGTCTTCCTTAAAATAATAAATAGCATATATCTAAAACCTTCAGCAAGCATTATATGTAATGGGGACAGGCTAGAAGCATTTCCAATAAGATCGGGGGTGAAACAAGGATGTCCATTATCACCACTGTTATTCAATATTGTACTGGAAACTTAGCTTTAGCAATAAGAGAAGAAAAAGAAATTGAAGGCATTAGAATAGGCAAAGAAGAAACAAAGCTATCACTCTTTGCAGATGACATGATGATATACTTAGAGAATCCTAGAGAATCAAGTAAAAAACTACTTGAAATAATAAACAACTTTAGCAAAGTTGCAGGCTATAAAATAAACCCACATAAATCATCAGCATTTCTATATATTACCAACAAAGCCCAACAGCAAGAGATAGAAAGAGAAATCCCATTTAAACTTACTGTAGACATTATAAAATATTTAGGAGTCTACCTCCTGAAACAAACCCAGGAACTCTATGAACACAATTACAAAACACTTTTCACACAAATAAAATCAGATCTAAATAATTGGAAAAACATCAGTTGCTCATGGGTAGGCTGAGCTAATATAATAAAAATGACAATCCTACCTAAGCTAATTTACTTATTCAGTGCCATACCAATCAAACTACCAAAAAATTATTTTATAGAGTTAGAAAAAATAATAACAAGATTCATTTGGAAAAACAAAAGGTCCAGAATATCAAAGGAACTAATGAAAAGAAATGCAGGGGAAGGTGGCCTAGCAATTCCAGATCTTAAATTGTATTATAAGCAGCAATCATCAAAACTGCTTGGTACTGGCTAAGAAATAGGGAGGTGGATCAGTGGAATAGGTTAAATATGCAAGACACAGTAGTCAATGACTATAGTAATCTATTATTTGATAAACCCAAAGACCCCAGCTTCTGGGATAAGAACCCACTCTTTGAAAAAAACTGCTGGGAAAACTGGAAAAGAGTATGGCAGAAACTAGGCATAGACCCAAATCTCACACCATATACCAAAATAAAGTCAAAATGGGTTCATGACTTAGATATAAAGGCTGATACCATAAGTAAACTGGGAGAACAAGGAATAGTTTACCTATCAGATCTATGGAGAACAGAAGAATTCATGACCAAACAGGAGATAGAGAACATTATGAAAAGCAAAATGGATAATTTTGATTACATTAAATTGAAAAGTTTTTGCACAAACAAAGCCAATGCAACTAAGATTAGAAGGAAGGTAGAAAATTGGGAAAGAATTTTTACAACCAGTCTCTCTGATAAAGGCCTCATTTCTAAAATATATAGAGAATTAAGACAAATTTATAAGAACACAAGCCATTCCCCAATTGATAAATGGTCAAAGGATATGAACAGACAGTTCTCAGATGAAGAAATTAAAGCCATCTATAGTCATATGAAAAAATGCTCTAAATCATTATTGATTAGAGAAATGCAAATCAAAACAACTCTGAGGTACCACATCACACCTATCAGATTGGCCATCATGACAAAACAGGAAAATGATAAATGTTGGAGAACATGTGGGAAAATTGGAACACTAATACATTGTTGGTGGAGTTGTGAAATGATCCAACCATTTTGGAGAACAATTTGGAACTATGCCCAAAGGGCTACAAAAATGTGCATACCCTTTGATCCAGCAATAGCACTTCTAGGGCTATATCCCAAAGAGATCAAACAAATGGGAAAAGGACCCACATGTACAAAAATATTCATAGCAGCTCTTTTTGTGGTGGCCAAGAATTGGAAATTGAGAGGATGCCCATCAATTGGGGAATGGCTGAGCAAGTTGTGGTATATGAATGTAATGTAATACTATTGTGCTATAAGAAATGATGAACAGGCTGACTACAGAAAAACCTGGAAAGACTTATATGGTCTGATGCTGAGTGAAGTGAGCAGAACCAAGAGGACTTTGTACACAATAACAGCCACATTATGCAATGACTATGATTGTTAAACTGAACCCTTCTCAGCATTATGAGGATCTAAGACATCTCCAGAGGCCTCTGGATGGAAAATGCTGTCCATATCCAAAGAAAGAACTATGGAAGTCGAATCGCTATCACTTATTTTTACCTTCTGTTAAGTTTTGTTTCATCTTTCTGCTGGTTCCTCCTATTGGTTTTAATTTTTACTTACAACTTCACTAATGTGAAAATATGTTTAATGGGTATGTAAATGTAAAGCCTATATCAGATTGTGCGCTGTCTTAGGGAGGATGGGGGGAAGAAGGGGGAGAAAAATTTTCAACTCAAAAGCATATGGAAGTGATTGTTGGTAAATCAAAATAAATTAATTTTTAAAAAAGCAATAGGTGTGCTGTGATTCCTGAAATTCCTTTTCATAGCTTTTCATTCTACAGGTTTAAAAGTGCAAATACTCTTGGAAGTGTTGACATTCATTTTTGCTCAAGTGACTGATAAGGGGAGTAGATAAGGGCAGAGTTTGGTTATCCTTAAATTCTGTGAGACCAAGTAGAAAGTTAGTTTTGGTTTGGGTATCCTACATAGCTACAAGGATTCTAAAAGCCTTTCCAAGTTGTTTTTCTTTCTTTCTTTTAAATATATTTTTTATTTTGTTAAACATTTCCCAATTACATGTAAATAAATTTTAACAATCATTTTTTAAAATTTTGAGTTCCAAATTCTCTCCCCCTCTAGCCCCTTCCCCCTCCATAAAAAGACAAGCAATTTGATAGTGATTATACAAGTGAAGTCATACAAAACATATTTCTATATTAGCATGTTGTAAAAGAAAACACAAAATAAACAATAAAAATACAAGTTCAAAAAAAAAGAACTAGGGAATAGTTCAACATTGGTCAAGGACTGACTTGGGCACAATAATAATCTTTTTCTGTAAGTACTCAAAGAGGGATGCAAGCTAGCAGACAGCCAATGTGATTTGAAATGTAAGCTGATTAAAAGCCAAGCAAGTTGGACAAGTGACAGTCATACAAGTTGACACTGGGGTAGTGTCTGGAGTAACCGCTCTTGCTTGATTGAATGTATTATCCCTTGTGCACCACAATGACCCCCCCACCCACACCTTATGAGCTAATAAAGTATAGCTGATGACAGAAGTTCTGGGGAAGAGTGGCTTATCTTCCTCAGTCCACTCAGACCCAAGAGAACTTTTAAGCATCATATTGCTGTTTCCACTTCTTCACCACAAGTTCATACACAGCGAATAGCTGGTTCAAAATGATAGCATTAAAAGATACAATTATATGAGCTTCCAAATGACACCCACTTATTATTCAAAAGTTTCATTTCTCCACTTTGGGTGGGAGAAGTCCTAGTTCCTCAAATGACAATGCTTCAGAGCTTCACAAGACCCTGTCAGTAAGGCTCATCCCAAGCACCGTCACAAAGATCTCCTAAGAGGATTTTACCATGTTTTTCTCCCCAACAGTAATTCATTTACTATTATTATTATTACTATTTTCTAGGGTTTTTTTTACACAAAATATACTCTGATAATCATATAACAGATATATTTATAATGTAACAGTATTCAGATTGAAAAGAGGAAGAAACTTGCTTTAACAGCTTCTCTTAGCCTTATTGTATCTAAAACATCACCAATCAGGTGATAATAATTTAAATACCTTCAAACTTATCAATTCAGAGAAAGGTCATTTGCTTTACTAACCCTGGCATTTTCATGCTAATTGTAGTGGTTTATGTAGTGCTTACCACAAGCCAGGCTTTTCATGTCTTGCAAGTTGATTAAGCCTATTTTTAATAATACTTTAAAATGCTTAGTCCATAATTTCCCAATTTTGTTAACATTCCATGCCAAATTAGGAAAAACACCTATAAATGGGATAGCATTTTGTTTGTTTTCTTACAAGGTCTGAACACTATAGTGCTCATCCTTTACGCAAACCAGGCACTGTGTTAAGCACTTCACAATTATGTGTTTCTCCCAACAACCCTGGGTTCCCTTTGTACATACAAGCACTGATTAGATTCTCTAATTTACTACCATTACAGTATTTTTGACCCAATCAATTTTGATGTATAATGACTAGTGGCAATTAGGGTTAGAAAAAACTGCATGGTGACACTCATAACTTCCCATTACTGCTTCTTTGTTTCTTTGAGTTGCCCAAAAAGCCAAACCAATTCCTTTAAATTTTCTAAATTACTAGTCTTTAGCATAAATTATTTAAACCAGAGCAAAGAAATAATCTTTCATCAATCTTTCATATGCATTTTATTGTGTGGGACAGCGACCCCAACCCAAATTAAACTCAGAGACTTCTCAAAGTGGAAAGCAAAGGTTACCTTTATTACAATCTCCCGAGATGGCTGTCTGCTCCTCCCATACACGTGGAGAGAGAGAGAGAGAGACCGCCTAACAGGGGCCCGCCTTATAAAAGCAAATCTCTGCCCACCATGAAAATAAGTCTCCACCCACCACTATCCCTTACCCCCTTAACTGGGGGTGGGCTTACATTCTAACTGGGAGGTGGGGCTTACATTCTAAGCTCCAGAGTTTCTTCCTATCCCCTTAACCAGGAGGTGGGGCTTACATTCCAGACTCAAATTCAAAGCCAAGGACAAACGGCTCAGATTGGGGGTGGGGCAGGGCTTATTCTTTCTGTTAAGTGCTTAAAAACAGGGTCTGAGTGGGGCAGGATTTTGAAAGTAGTAATCAAGAATTATTTGACCCTTTGAGGAACCTTCATTTCTGAGAGTTCATTTCTCACACTACCTTCTGAACTCATTACCTTAATTACACTGAGAAGTCTTCACTGGGACATCCCATTCACTATGAAACTTATTTTGCAGTCTTACATTGATTGGGAAAGGAACACATGTAGCAACTATCAAAGGGCATTACTTTAAAAAATTCCTAAATCTTTTTTATTTCAGTGGGATTAAGACCCTCTCTGAAGTCTCCATTAAGATGCTCTGATTCTTATAATCTGGCCACTGGTCAGATTCTTATAATCTAGCCAATAGTTTACTAATGTTCAGACTCCTTAAGAGTCTGCCCAATATGATGGATGTTCTAATAAACCTTGTCTTTGGTTGAAAGAAGGCTTGGGTCAAATTCTTTCTGGCAGGACCTGCATATTGTGATTTTGGGATCCCAGGACCCATGAACCCCTAAACTGTATCATTGGGAACTTTTAAAATGATAGATATCTTTTCCACCTTAAGTAAAAATAAACCTTTAGAATTGGAATTCATTAAAACTAAGTTGATGTAAGATGTCCTTAAGTAACATAAATAAATTCCCAAAGTACTATAACAAACTAAATTCCTAGTTATTACAGAATTCCTAGAAATCACAAAGTTCCTTAGTCAAAAAGGTATTTGTAATGGAGAAAAAAATCGGTTTTTATAATGCATGAAGAACATACCCATTTAAATTAGCCTTATCACAATAACAAACATTGTCAAGCCTTTAAATTTTACTCAGTATTTTTTCCTTTTGTCCTTAAATATATCACTAGAAATTAGGAAAAACTATGCCAGTCTGGAATCTCACATAGATAGTGAATGTGGTAGTCCATAAACCTCCAAATTAACATATCCCTAGGATTCTCATTTACTCAGGAATTCCACAGCACAAGAAAGTTTTACACAGAGTTGATAAGAATTTTAGGTGAAACTTCCTCTTAAAGGTAAATGAAACTTGGAAGTTTATTCTAACCCATTCATTCTCCCCTATTATTATTATTTTTTGGAGGGGTAACAATTCTTGATCTAACATCTCTAGATTATAAGAGAAATTGCTTTTTCAACAACATAGCTGATACGATTTGTTTACCAGATTACAGCATATAAAAAATCTCAGAAATATAACCATACCATAAGCAATTATTATGTATTTAAAACTTGAAATAAAACCAATTAACTACCTGCTTATAACCAAATATACCTCATTAAATGTTAACAATTTTCAAATTATCAAATTTTATCACATCCTTTTTTAATTTTTAAAAAACTTTTGTATTTTAAAAAAATTTTTTAAATATAAATTTATTTATTTTTAGTTTTCAACATTCACTTCCACACGTTTTTGAGTTCCAAATTTCTCATCCCTCCCCCCACCCCAAGATGGCATGCATTCTGAATACCCTTCTCTTCCCCTGGTCTGTCTTTTCTTCTATCTCTCCCCCGTCCCTTCTCTTATCCCCTTCCTCTTCTATTCTCCTATAGAGCAGGATAGACTTCTGTACCTCATTTCCTGTATTTCTTATTTCCCAGTTGCATGTATCACATCCTTTTAAAAGACTAATCCATATGCACCATTTCTACCTCACAATGATCTCTCAAATTTTACAATCTAAGAGAGTTTTAGAAATACAATACAATTTAGAAACATAGTAATAACACAAACAATAAATTTTAGAAGATATCAGTTACATTTCCAGATTATCACATATAGAAATTATTGATCTTATTATTTTTGGTATTGAAAAACCACTTCAAAGTTATCAGGTATGGAACAATTACATTAAATTAGAGAGATAATAATAATGTTGTCTAACATATGTCAGTCATTGTTTTAAGCACTTCACAATCATTATATCATTTTGATCCTATAACAACAACCATTATTATTTTTCCCTTTACAAATCAGGCAACAGGGCAAACAGAGATAAAATAGCTTATTATAAATTATAAAGTTGACACGTTTCTGCAACTGAAACACTGCAACTGGAACAGAGAAGTATGGGGCTTACCAAGAGCAGAAGTTGGCTTCTTACCTCATAATGCTATTGCCAAGCCTTCCAAGGGACTGGGGTGGCTGATGCCAGGGCCTTCCCAGTTATGATAATTCTTGGTGGCAGGGCTTAGGGAATCTCATCATAGTTCTGACCGTCCACTTCTCTCCTCCCCACAGCAGCAGAATTTACTGAGGCTGGTGCTGTTTGCAGCTGCTGGGGCAGGGTGGGCAGAATGTATTGAACCTGGATGATTTCCCAGGCCTTGCTTAGAGGTGTAGGCTGCAAAGTGCCCAGGGGCATGGGGCTGATAGCAGACTACTACTGCTAGTCCGTATTAGCTGCCCCTCCCCTCCTTTTGCCAGATGGGGAAGGCTAATTTAAGTTTTCCCCAACACTTCTCCAGAATTCTCTTTTCTTTTACAATCCCCTTATAGAGATACTTATCTCTGGGGAGGGAGTGGGGAATGATGAGGAATCAGGATTGGGGGAAGGTGTTTTAGCAGAGGGTGAGCTCCTAGAATTACCACCAGTCTCAGAGGTTTTCTACAACAATCTCAAAATGATCAATTTTCCAATTTCTTAATGAAAAACCTCCAGACTCTGCTAAGATGTCTTTAGCTGTATCTAACTTTTTACTGTAGGGCTAGCCTGGCCAGGCCTGGACCCACAAGGAAAGGAATTTTACACGTTTGTCATTTTCCTAGCTACAGCCCTTAGAAGTCTCTAAAATCTTACAAGTTAATAGATAGAGACACATACTGACAGACAAATTGACAGGACAAATACAATACAAACATAGTGACATAGTGCGCACTTAATGACAGAGAGAGAGGGAATTAGAGGCTTATTAGAAAACCCCCAACGTGAATTGGCTATTATTGTTATTATTATTCTGAGGAAAGGGGGTTGGGGAATTTGCAAGGATCCAAGACCAGATAATGTAACTGGATCATTCAAGCCTTCCTGAGAGTGCCCCTGGGGTTGCATGTTTAAAGTAGCAAGTCCCAATGAAGTTAAGTTTGGGGATTGCCAGGAGCGCCTGCGTCCCGGGCTGTGGTCTGATGCCGGCAGAGTGTGAAGAGAGAAAGAATCACGGGCCAGGTGAGAGCAGTGAAGAACAAACTCTGTTTATTGATCTGAGGGCTCAGGCTTATATAGTACCGGATCAAGCAATAGTAACATTATTATTCATGAAAAGTACAAATCTAATTAAGTGATTTCCTTACTTCCTTGTACCTTGTCTGTTACATTCTTTCCTGCGTCCTGTCCTGTACCCCATCTGTTTCCTCCCTTCCTGCGTCCTGTTCTCAAGAGACGGAACAGGGGGGGTGGTGAGCTGACATCCTGAGTTTCACAGCTGTCAGGCTTAGTACAAGCTGCAGGTAAGACCTGGGCTGGCCTAAGCCTCCAACTCCCCAAAGCCGGCCCTCTACATCTCCCCCTTTCTTCTGTTCTAGCTTGAGAACGTGGGATGCACATCAGGAGAAAACTCAAGAGTAACAAGAATACTATCAGGGTACGAAATGCAACAGCAAACTTGAAATATTCTGGAAAGTGTTAAGTTGCTTGATATAGTACAATAGATTATAAACAATATCTTGAGGATCAATACCATCCATGTTACATTTTTGGAATGCCAAGCGCCCTGAAGCTTATTCAATATTCGATCAGGAGTTACATTGATAGTATTAGAAAGCAAATAGGGAGTTACACAAACAAAAGTATAGTGGGCAAGGTACAGGTTTAACCCAAGGGGGGTAAGGCATGTAAGTCCAATGTAATCATGACTCCATCCCAGAGCCATCTGCGACAGTCATCATTGCAAAAAGGACAGTCAACATCTTATTATTGGCTCTTCGCCTTCTCAGTCTCGCCTTCCTCCTCCACTTGTCTGTCTGACCAGTTTTTCCTTTGATGCTCAGGGTCTCTATCCCTCTGGTCAGTATGCTGACAGGTACGGATGTTCCTCTCGGGAGCCCAGACTGGTTCTCATGCATGTTCTGGAAAAACACAAGCATAACCTCGACCCCAGGTTAATAATTTTACTGGACCATCCCAATTATCTGTCTTTGGATCCTTCCACATTACTGTGACATCTGGTTGCTCATCTAACAACCCGTTCTTTTGCCCTGCAAAATGTTTTTGTGCAGTAGTACGTCCCTGATCATCTAGTGTTAAAAATTTTATGGTATGTATTACCTGGTCCAATCTCCTTTTTAAATTTATGGTATATATTATCTGATCCAATCTCCTTCTTACTCTATTTTCTATTCCCTCTTTTTTCTGTTTATCAAGGAGGATTTTAATATCCTTGTTGCACCTTTCAACAATGGCTTGTCCAGTGAGATTGTATGGGATGCCAGTAGAGTGAGTGACATTATAGGTGAGACAAAATTGTGCAAAATTCCTGCTAGTATAGGCTGCACCATTGTCAGTCTTGAGGTGTCTTGGATTGCCAAGAAAATTACAGCAAAACAAGAAATGATATTGCTTATGTCCTTCTTAAAATATGTAACTAATCCAAAGTATCTGTTTGTCTTCATATAATATTCATCTTCCCCCCACTTTTTTTTTTGCACATACTCTGACACATACATTGTAATTACACTTAAAAAACATGAATCACACATTGATATGAAAT